TGTGTTTACAAGGGTATGGAGAGCCATTTTGTTTCCATTTCCCACTCCCTATACATTTAATAGATTAATGTAATATATGAGGACTGCATGTCACACTGTAAATTGTTCTTGTGGAGGAAGCCATTAACTTGGTTCACCATATGTGGGAGAAGAATTGGAAGTAATGTTTTATAGTATTCATAAGCATTACTTCCAGTTCATCTGGTATCCATCTGGTCTGGGGGTTTTATGGGTGGGTAACATTTTGAGGGTTGCTATGATTTCCTCCTCATCAATGGCTGCACTCATTGGATGAAGATTAGAGATTTAATTTTTAAGGATACCGCTATCTGCAAGATAACACTATATTCATTTCAGGAGGTCTCTAGAATGTGGGTTGTGGGATATATTGAGTTTGTTATAAAGATCGGAAGAGACTTGGGCTATACTTGTAGGGTGTAATTTGCATAAAACCAGTTTTGTCCTTAATAAAGGTGTCAATATGTATGTTTTTTCTTTCTGCTTTTCAGCCTTATTGCCCTTGTCTTAAAAAAAGTCTGAGATGTCAGTCATTGAATGGGAAATTTGAAATTCAGAGGGAAATTTTTTATTCACGTTTCTATTTGTCAAGAATTCTAGTTGCATTAGCTTTGCAAATGCTGATAACAAAGCTAAACACTGGTCTCTCATTACTGTCCTATGGGCTTAACAGAGGGTATAGTGAGATATATGGGGGTAGAGTTTTCTGTGACGTGGTGTGGCAAAATCAATTTTAATACCTCCCTAAACAACTTGTGTTTGAGTAAAAAACGGTTACGTTTACAATGACATGTTTGGAGTGCATCACAATTCAACATTGTAAGAATAGGGGCTAGGTCTGACCAGGATGTGTGACTGGTTGAACAAGACAGGGTTTTACAATGGCCAACAGTTTGTCTGTCTAAGGTGGTAGAGTATGGCATGTTGTAGTCCCCTCCCATGATCAAGAATTTATGTTCAGTTCTCTGAAAAACAGTTATACACCTTTGATAGGAATGTGTTCTAGTTTTAGTGGAGTACTGTATGCATTACAACGATTGTTGTCATCAGCATTTCATTTTCCCCAAAGGATAATATAATGACCATTAGAATCTAAGAAAGAACTTACGAGATGGAATGGCGAGTCTGCCTTAATGAGGATGGCCACCCCTTGTTACTGCTTTTGGTAGAAAACCACAAAAACATCTGGTATATAGGTTACATTTGTTCTTCATTTCCTATTCTTATCATCTGGGAATCTACCAATTACTGAATGCTGTATGGAGATTATGATTAATTTCTTCAAGAGACTTAAATATGTAGTGTACAAACATCTCATTGTGTAACTTGTTATTCCATTTATTTTTATACTTCCCAGGCACCTTGTAGTTGTCGGTCTCAGCTCCAGACAGCAATACTCGCCCTGTAGTAAGTGATTCAGCAGATTCAGATATTAATTGAAATATTCTGGTAGCACAGGGGTTTAAGGATAAGTGATCATGAACGCAACAAATACATTAAAATTGGCCATGATATCCAAAGAAACATTACAATTTTTTTTAGGTTCCAGGTATAAACACCAATAGAAAGAAATTAATTTTGAGCATTAAACTGGATATTTAAAGCCCAACTCCAATAAAACCATTATACTTCAAAAATTGTGCGCATAAACAAACTGAATATAGTACCCTCCTACATAACAGCTGTTCAGAGCTATCAGTGCAGATAATAAAATTATCACAAAAAAAAGAAAAAGAAAAACAGCACTAAAATATATCTACCACTCTGTTAAATTATATAAATATACAGTCATGGCCGAAATTGTTGGCACCCTTGATATTTCTCCAGGAAATCATGTATTTCTCACGAAACGTATTGCATTAACACATGTTTTGCTATACACATGTTTATTCCCTTTGTGTGTATTGGGACACAAAACAAAAAAAGGGAGGAAAGAAAGCAAATTCGACATAATGTCACACAAACCTCCAAAAATGGGCTGGACAAAAGTATTGGCACCCTTTCACAACTGCGGATAAATAAGAATGTTACAAGCATGTGATGCTCCTGTAAACTCACCTGGGGCAAGTAACAGGTGTGGGCAATATAGAAATCACACCTGAAAGCAGATAAAAAGGAGAGACGTTCACTTAACCTTTGCATTGTGTGTCTGTCTGTGCCACACTAAGCATGGACAACAGAAAGAGGAGACGAGAACTGTCTGAGGACCTGAGAACCAAAATTGTGGCAAAATATCAACAATCTCAAGGTTACAAGTCCATCTCCAGAGAACTAGATTTGCCTTTGTCCACAGTGCGCAACATTATCAAGAAGTTTGCAACCCATGGCACTGTAGCTAATCTCCCTGGTCGTGGACGGATGAGGAAAATTGATGAAAGATTGCAACGCAGAATAGTCCGGATGGTGGATAAGCAGCCCCAAACATGTTCCAAAGACATTCAAGCTGTCCTGCAGGCTCAGGGAGCATCAGTGTCAGCGCGAACTATCCGTCGACATTTAAATGAAATGAAACGCTATGGCAGGAGACCCAGGAGGACCCCACTGCTGACACAGAGACATAAAAAAGCAAGACTACAGTTTGCCAAAATGTACTTGAGTAAGCCAAAAGCCTTCTGGGAAAACGTCTTGTGGACAGATGAGACCAAGATAGAGCTTTTCGGTAAAGCACATCATTCTACTGTTTACCGAAAACGGAATGAGGCCTACAAAGAACAAAACACAGTACCTACGGTAAAATATGGTGGAGGTTCAATGATGTTTTGGGGTTGTTTTGCTGCCTCTGGCACTGGGTGCCTTGACTGTGTGCAAGGCATCATGAAATCTGAGGATTACCAAAGGATTTTGGGTCGCACTGTAGGGCCCAGTGTCAGAAAGCTGGGTTTGCGTCCAAGATCCTGGGTCTTCCAGCAGGACAATGACCCCAAACATACGTCAAAAAGCACTCAGAAATGGATGGCAAAGAAGCGCTGGAGAGTTCTGAAGTGGCCAGCAATGAGCCCAGATCTAAATCCCATTGAACACCTGTGGAGAGATCTTAAAATTGCTGTTGGGAAAAGGTGTCCTTCCAATAAGAGAGACCTGGAGCTGTTTGCAAAGGAAGAGTGGTCCAAAATTCCGGGTGAGAGGTGTCAGAAGCTTATTGATGGTTATAGGAAGCGACTGATTTCAGTTATGTTTTCCAAAGGGTGTGCAACCAAATATTAAGTTAAGGGTGCCAATACTTTTGTCCAGCCCATTTTTGGGGGGGTTTTGTGTGACATTATGTCATATTTGCTTTTCTGCCTCTGTTTTATATTTGTTCCAATACATACAAAGGGAATAAACATGTGTATAGCAAAACATGTGTTAATGCAATACCTTTTTTGTGTGAAATACTTGATTTTCAGGAAAAATATCAAGGGTGCCAACAATTTCGGCCATGACTGTATGTAAACAAATCCTGCATGATCAATATAATGAATATTACCTATAAAGTGGAAACAATTGGTGCAATCAAGTACATAAAATCTCCAAAAAGTAATAAATACATATTTCATTCTGTGAAACACTCTGTATCACAAATCCTTAACAATAGTGCAAAAGTCCAAAAAAGTCCAAGTTCTCTATATATAAAGAAACACAATAAAAAATGTGTTAATAAAGTCTACCACACACTTCTAAGTGTGAAACTATCTACTCCGTAATGAAAGAAAAATGAAGACACACTCCGTGTGATTGAGTTCACTGCACAATAGAATATGGGGGACACCTTCTCCATACTATTCACTTGATCCTTTCTCAGACACTCAGTGATCCACTCACCTTCTGAATGTGACCTCTTAATTGAATAAGATGGTCAAACAGCACATTGTGTTGTAACCAGTTGCTATGCCTTGAATCCCCAGAGCAGTCACAGACTCCATTTATCACTCTTCATCAACCATTATAGGAAAGAGAAGAATGCAAGAGATTTATAGTGCGACATGTTTATTAAAAGCATATAAAAAATGCACTTACATTCTAGAAACTAGAGAGGAACACTCCCCTTCCTATTCAGATCACATGAGAGGCCTCTAGTGAACAATGCTACCTGATTTAGACTCTGCTCAACACATTTCATCACTAGACATAATCAGGAACAGTGTGCCTTAGCAACCATTGACAGCAGAAAACTGTCATATATAGAATTAGTAGGGATACTGCTTCTATATATATGATATTGGCTCCCACTGAATGGAGTGGGAGGGGATGGGGGCAAACTCTCAAACAGCCAAGGTTCAGTCTGATCCTATGTTTGGACCAAACTGTAAGCTCACCCATATTCCCAGCGAACCCTTGATAAAATTATTTTATCAAGGGTCAGTGGGAAGAATGCCCCCCTTACAGGGGTGATCAGAATGCCGCTCTTACAGTCAGCTAGTAGGATCAACCAGGCTAATACAGGAACCGCCAGATAGGAGACCATAGAGCCACAGCTCAAAGAACCCCTAGCAGCCTCTGGAGGAACCCTAGAGTTACACAGAACCCTGGTTGAGAATGTCTCTATAGCATGTTACTTGAGTGACAGCTCTATGTTTACTGGAGCTGTTAACATCACATCCAAGATGATGGCTTCTAGCAGCAATCTCAGGGCTTTTGAATGTCTACATAATGGAAGTTTTTATAGTTAAATAACATGCATAAAATATGCTACATGCTCATATAATCCTATGGGAAGTTTTTTTGAAATAAAAGACCTGGCAACAAGGACTATTATTATTATATAGGATTTATATATAGTGTCAACAGTTTGCTCAGCAGTTTACAATATAAAGAGGGACAATACAGCAAGAATACAGAATACAAGAGGGTTAAGAGGACCCTGCTGTTTGGAGCTTACAATCTAAGATTAAAAAAAAAAAAACCTTCTCATTCTTAGGAGATTCACACCCATAACTGTGAGCAAACAATAAAAAAAACAAGGAAAAATATAAAACTTTAATCAAACCAGCTGCCCTGGCAGTTCAGTTGCAATCCTGTGAAGAGCACAGCCTGGATGGTGTTTTCAATGGATGAGCTAGCAGGTAGTCAGATATGAAAGTGGGAAGATATGATACTGGCATGAAGTAGAGTTTTGTAATCCAGCCTACAGAATAGCGAGTCCAGGGATGTACAGCAGTCAACGCATGCTCTATGGAATCTGTAACTTGATTTATATGAGGATCACACTTAGACAGCCTGTACTCAATGAATCTGCAATCTGGAACAGAAAAAAAAGATATCAGCCCAGTTAGAAATAATGATTGTTGACTTATATTTTTTTTCATCAAAGTCATTTATATGACATCACAGTACAATACTATACATGAGGATCCCACAGCAGGGATGTTATTCGGATAACAGGATGGCTAGATTATGTTGGATATTGGATGTAGCTTGATTTGGACATTGTTAAACATAGTCTAAGCCTACTTGCTGTTCAACACCCACATGCTGCAGTTCTTGTATCCTCAAAATACTCCATAATGACTATGCCACAAGCGAGGGGTCACAGACACACATAAAAAAGGAAAGGAAACTCTACCATATGCTTTTCTGAATGAAGAATCATAAAAAAGTGCTAATATTTTGAGCTTACTTCAAAAAAGATCATTAAAACAGTTGGGGACTATGCAACAACCAGCAACTCTTGAGACATCAAAACATTAGTAAGTACTATTTACTGCACAACTTATAGAGTTCAGTGGTCAGAAGTATATGATGTACAAAATATAATGCAGGTGAAAAGGGTATGCAACATACAGCACAGCTTACAGACTGCAGTGGTCAGGAGTATGTAACATAGTAACCCTTGCAGTGCTGGTCAGTAGGAGGAAAAATGCCAGGGCATCAGTGGTCAGTGTAAGGTAGCCCCAGCATGGGTGAGGAAAAAAAAAACATGGCAACAGTGTTCAGTGGGAGGAAAGAAAAGCACAAACACTGGAGGACAAATGCTCTATTGTTGCTTGTCAGTGAAAGGAAGAATGCTACAGCATCAGTGGTCAATGTAAGAAACAATATCCTAGTGTTGGTGGGCATGGGGAAGAAAAAAATGGCAAATTGTCAGTGGAATTTAAAAAAACAGTAGTGGTGTCAATGGAATATATAGTCATTTTCCTAGAAGCAGTATTAGTGGCATAAATAAAAATACCCTCAACAGTGGTGTCCATAGGAGCTCAGACCCTATATATTGGTGGTAGCTCAGATGCCAACATTGTTGTTCAGTGCAAACTCTTTCCTTTATACTAGTGTTCAGTGGGCACCTAAATTGGTGTTCAGAGGGAGCTTTTTCCCCTCACATTTGGTGATCAGTGGCAACTTTGTCTTTTACATTGCTGCTCAGTGACAAATTAAGTCAACACCAAACTATGCAAGCACCATCGTGCAGGAGATCACTTTGTTACATTCCTGGCATAAATCAGCAGCTAGGTTCTGGAATTTGTCCTTTAACCACCTCCCGGCCGCCATATTGTAATATGACGGACGCAAGGTAGTTCTCTCGTTCTGGGAGGACGTCATATGATGTCCTCCCATTATAACCGTGCATGTGCGGCTCCCGGAGCGTGCAGTGCGAGGGACACAGCGGATCACTGATCCACGGAAAGAGCCGAAGATGTCAGCTCGGTCATGTGATCAGCTGTGTCCAATCACAGCTGATCACATGTAAACAGGGAAATGCCAGTTATCAGCATTTCTGTCCTCATGAGCTGTCACGCTGACAACTCGTGAGGAGAGGAGAGCCGGCAATCAGCATTCCGCGGAGGGGACATGTACACTGATCATCAGAGCACTGATGATCAGTGTGCCCTGATAATCTGTGTAGCTCCAGCAGCGCCACCTGTCAGTGTCCATCAGTGTCAGCTCTCAGTGCTCATCCATGCCACCTGCCAGTGCCCATCAGTGCCACATCAGTGCCCATCAATGCCACATATCAGTGCCCATCTGAGCTGCCTTTCAGTGTCAACCATCAGTGCCAGTCAGTGCCACCTATCAGTGCTGACAATCAGTGCCACCTATCAGTGCCAGTCAGTACCACCTATCAGTGTGCATCAGTGCCGCCTATCAGTGCCCGTCAGTGCCGCCTAACAGTGCCAGTCAGTGCCGCCTAACAGTGCCAGTCAGTGCCGCCTAACAGTGCCAGTCAGTGCCGCCTAACAGTGCCATATATGAGTGCTGCCTTTCAGTGCCCATCAGTGATGCCTGTCAATGCCCATCAGTGCCACCTACCAGTCCCTCCTCATCAGTGTCCATCAGTGCAGCCTATCAGTGTCCATCAGTGTAGCCTATCAGCCTATCATTGCCCATCAGTGCAGCCTCATTAGCGCACATCAGTGAAGGAGAAAAATCACTTATTTACAAAATTTTGTAACAAAAACTAAGACAAAAAATTTTTTTTTTTCAAAATTCTCAGTGGTTTTTGGTTTGTTTAAGAAAATAAAAAACCCAGAGGTGATTAAATACCACCAAAATAAAGCTCTGTCACAAAAAAATGATAAAAATTTCATATGGGTACAGTGTTGCATGACCGCGCAATTGTCATTCAAAGTGCGACAGTGCTGAAAGCTGGAAATTGGTCTGGGCAGGAAGGGGGTATAAGTGCCCGGTAGGCTAGTGGTTAAACTTGGAAGTACAGGTTACAGTCTTCATGGAATATGTTTTGATGCCAGAATGTGCTGTTCATACAGATACAGGATGCAGGAAGGGTCATAGCTTAATCACAAAGAGGGTGCACTAGAACAATATTACTCACAATCCTGGAAATACTGTTGACCATAACTATCCTTGGCCCACAGTGGAGCCTGTTTCCAGACATCATTGAGGCTTTGTAATGTGGTCTTTATATCTGTAGCTGGGGTCTTGAAGGAGCTGGGCTCAATGATAGAAACTTTTACCCCAAATGGTTGAAGTTCACGCCTAAACAATGTAGGAAAATAGATTACATGTTATTGCATGTAACTGCATTTTTAAACAGTCTATTAATAATGAGTAACTGGGATTTATATGCGACTTAAACTTGGATTTAAAATGTGCTATTGCTGGGGTTTGCAGTACAAAAAACTCTGTATTTTGAAATCCTAATAAAATTATTGTATACAAGAATGTTTAGTATCCAAGGACTAAACAGATCTTTCACCCCATACAGTACATCAACTCTGTTGCTACCTTATTTGAATGTCTTTTGTAGTAACATTTTGATTAAATACAAATACAAAACTTTTTAATATTTAAAAATGGCACCAAGTAAAGAGCATTGGATAAGCAGCAATTCCCTATGTAGATAAAGTAAGATGGTTTCTATAAAGCCTAACATGCACTACTAGTTTTTTTTCTCAGGAGGAGCCGCTGTACTAACTATCCAGTGTTAGAACACAATAGCACACTGGGGTAGATCTCTTTACTAACAGGGGCCATTGTCTGGGAGTGCTGATCGGAATCTGATTGCATACATTTTTCAGTCATTCCCCATCAACAGAAGCCGGCCAAATGGCTGGCACACACACGGGCCAAATGTTGGCTGGTTTCTATTGAATCAGTAAATGCCACCCAACATTCGGCCCATGTGTACTAGCGTTTACTCATTAACTGTCAGTATCCAGATTGAGCTTCAAATGAAAACTTAGATTCAGTATTAGATTACCTATTCTGAATATTTCCAGCAGAATCCAAATTTTGAATAGTGCCAAGACTGGTGGTTTTCCACTTTGGATTTTTTGGTAATTGCAGCATTAGTTTAAAGGGTCAAAAATCATCTCAAAAGTGATTTCAGTTATAGTGATGTGAGTAAGGATTTCACAACAGTTAAACTATTATAACTCTTGGTGTCTACAGCAGAAATGGCTCATTATTCCAGTTTTATACCCCCTCCCCACTCCTGCAAAATCAATGTTCCTAGCTGCCCCCATTGTTCACATTAAAAACCCAGTAGTAGGGCAAGTGGAACTCCTTTGTTCACACTCACTATAAAATACCACACTTACCACTATGAGTAGGGCCTGCTTATTCAGTCTAAATATTGTAATTCAGGATTTCCTGAATTAAATTAGGTCTATCTGTAGGCAGGTGCAGTCTAGGGTTTCCTTTGCAGATGGTGCTCATCCGTAATGACAATGCAGTTGGGGGAGGAAATCAACAGAAACTAGGCTTCTTTATGATTCCTCGGTTCCCTGGAGCAGCGATTTGGTTGTCTACCCTGGATCCAGGTGACCCTGGTGGCCATCTTGGGTCACCCAGAGTCTCTTTAAGTCTCTGCCCCCAGGTTTTGGTGTGCATTCTTGCAAGTGGAACTAGTGGTGCTTTTGGAGGAGCAAGGAAAGTATAGGGCCTACGTCTGATCTTCAGTAGGCTGCCCCTTGGGGCTTGACGGGCCAGGCCACATTCCACTTACGACAGTCGCTGTCTTCAGCTCAGGCCTACACACTACCCACTAACTCTTGAAACTGTTGTAAGTGCCCCAGATGGGATAACCTCTCCCTGGGTCAGTTGTATGGTTTTCAAGTTTTGAAATACATAGTTTTCTACACCAGTGTAATAAAGCCTGCCAACAAGCCATTCTGCTGGTGCTGAAGTGCAAAGATCTGGAGTCCCCATGAGAAATATAAACCCATTAGCTCCAGTTACATCTATGTATGTTAAAGTTAAGGCTTTTTTAGTTTTGGATAAAGTAGGAAATGGTGAGAGCCTTTGTCAAGGTCACTGTCTGTACTGTTGAGCATTGTCACAGAGACAGAAAGTGAGGGAGATTCAAAATCTCATTGTCACAGATCAAACGGTTGGAGAGAATTCTCCAGTGGAGACACCTGTTCCCGTGACAGTTCTTTAAGGTAAGAATTTTTTTTAACATTTCCTGTTGTGTCCCCAGAATGGGAAGTGAAGGCAAATCTCCTCAGTGGGCACAGACAGCAAAAAATAACCCTTCTCTACTCTTTTTCATACAAAAACAAAAGGTTTGCCTTTATATACACTTTAAAGCAGAATATCAGTTTTTTTTGCTAAGAGACTGTGGCAAATCATCTGCAATAAAACCTTATTCAACCTGAAAGAAATGTTCTTGTAATCGTTCACTGAGCCCCACATGCACATCTCACCATAAATAATTTCCCGTGTGAATGTGTTGGGGTTCTATCATCCTGGGTCATCCAGCAAAGATTACTGAAGACTCCAAATCTGGGAAAAGATGTCAGAAGTGGCAATACAGGCACAAGGGAGAGCATGGACATTGCCTCCAAGGAGGCAATGTCTGCACTCTTCCATTCTTCCTTGTCCCCTCCATTCTCACTGCGGACATCTTCTCCCAGGTCTGGTCTTCAAGAGTGTTTTGGAAGGTTAGCGTATGCTATAATGTACAAATACGCTGTGCATACTTGCGAATTATGGCCAGAGCACCACCCCCACCCTTGGCTATAAAGCTTTAATTCCACTTTAACATGTCAGTGCGCAGACTGTGTTTCATGTATATTTTGGGTTGAGGGTGCCAATCAGGATGAATGCTAATGCTCCACAAAGCAAATATACTGCTCAGTTCTCGCACATATAAGTGTGACTAGAGCCCTAAAACAGACCTGAAGTCAAAAGATGAAGATTTGCTATATTATAGGGAACATTTGGAAATTTTAATTCTGCCTAAGAAATACCCTTTTATCTGGAATTCCTCCTGAAAACAGCAGTGCATTGTTTGGTTGCATAGGCAATTCTGTGCCTACATCTTACAGCTGTACATCTGCAGTGTGAGATCTACAGTATTCTGCCTATGACTGCTAGAGTCAAGAAATATGGTGGTATGACTACTGTGTTGCTTCCTGTTCTCCGTCCTGGAGGTTCGGGCATGAGAAAGCAAAGCCCTGCCTTTACCAAGATGGCTGCCTCTATTAAAGAGACACAGTACAGAACAAACATACAATCAAATGAGAGTGCCAAACAAATGTCCGAGGGTCAAAGGTAATTAATGATAAAACTGATTTATATTAGAATGCTATGGATGCTTTTTTTCTTATATTCTTATTCTTCTATGAATCAGCATTATCATTAAATTACCTTGGACTCCTGATTGTTTGTTTGGCACTCTCATTGGATTTCTGGTATGTGGATTCTCAACTTTGGGTTCTTTCCCTGTTCCTGTGGGTAGTCCTCGTTTTGTGTAGTACTCTCAGAGCCAGTGTGCCCATTAACAAATTCAGTGACCCTTAGAAAATCTGAATCCAGTGCCTCCATTTGGTCTTGAGTTTGGACAATGCACAGCAAGGCACGGTAAGATGGTAATGAGTGCAGCTTCCACAGTTCAGTTTCTCTTTAACGACGATGATGACCTAACCTTCCAACCTTCCAAAATCTGACAAAACTTTAGCTAGTGTTCCTATGATATGAACATTGGGGGGTAAATTCAAGGATATTAACCGCTTTCCAGCCACCCTATAGCAGAAATACTGCTACAGGGCAACAAGGGGGTGCAAAATCATGTATATATATGTGATTTTGCATTACCCATGCCACCATTGGCGGCCTCACCTGTCGATCACCGGGTCCCGGCCAGTGATTCCTAGCTGACAGCCATGTATCACTGACAAGGGGAGAGACTTGTATGTATACAATACAGATTTCTCGCCTGTCAGCTCCTGCACACTGCTTTGTATGGCTCTGCATAGCAAAGCCATACAAAGCAGCATGCTTACAGTGTAAAGCACACACACACAGTTAACCCTTTGATCCCCCCAGATGTTAACCCCTTCCTGCCCAGTGTCATTCGTACAGTGTCAGTGCTTTTTATTAGAACTGATCACTGTATTGGTGTCATTGGGGATGCCAGTGACAGTTAGTCAGTTCCCCCCAGTGTCAGAATGCCCGCCGCAGTCCCACTATAAGTTGCTGATCGTTGCCATTACTAGTGTTAAAAAACATGTAAAAATTCCAGTATCTATACCACCATTTGTAGACGCTGTAACTTTCATGTAAACCAATTAATTTACACTTATTGGGATTTTCTTTTAGCAAAGACATGTAGCAGAATACATTTTGGCCTAAAGTTACGACAAAATTTGATTTATTAAATTTTTTTTTACTGGACATGTTTAATAGCAAAAAAACAAAAATATAGTTTTGTCTCAAAATTGTCGGCCTTTTTTTCTATAGCACAAAAAATAAAAACCGCAAAGATGATCAAATACCACCTAAAGAAAGCTCTATTTGTGGGGAAAAAAAGGACATAAATTTAAATTGGGTGCAGTGTTGCATGACATTGTCAGTTAAAGTAATGCAGTGCCGTATCACAAAAAATGGCCTGGTCATGAAGGGGGGAGTAAATCCTCTGGAGGGCAAGAGGTTAAAGTATGTGCACAACCGAGGTATGGCCTTTGGTACAGATCTGTTTTAAAATGAAACCTGTTATCAGCAACCATCAACGGAACCTGCCGACTTTCGGTACATGTGTACCACGCTTAAGCCTATCCATTATTATTATTATACAGGATTTATATAGCGCCAACAGTTTGCTCAGCGCTTTACAATATAACGGGAGATATTAGAGCAAAAATACAGTTCAATACAAGAGGGATTTGGGGACCCTGTTCCTTGGAGCTTACAATCTAAGAGGGAGGGGCTAGTGGTACAAAAGGTAGTAACTGTGGGGGATGGACTGGTTGGAAAAGTAGAAGATTCCAGTATTAGCTAATAGGATAGGCTTCCCTGAAGAGATAGGTTTTCAGAGATCGCCTAAACGTGAGTAGGTGATAGTCTGATAACTTGGGGTAGAGAGTTCCAGAGGATGGAGGAAGCTCTGGAGAAGTTCTGGAGATGAGCATGGGAGGAGGAGACAAGGGAGCTAGAGAGTAGGAGGTCTTGCGAGGAGCGGAGAGTATGGTTTGCATGATATTTAGAGACAAGATCAGTGATGTGAGTTATAAATGGCTTTATAGGTTATTGTT